AGATAGGGCAATGCACTATGTCCAGGGGGAGCTGGGATCCCAGAGGCCAGACCCAAGGTGGGTCCTCACCGAGGGCACAGTGGCTAGGGGGCGCGGGCTCCAATCTCGCGCGGCCTAGGCAGGCAGCCTCCTGCAGGTGGCAGGCGCTGGTGTAGACGACTCCGTCGGAGCCGCACACCGGGTCCCCGCCGGCGCTACAGTAGCGGGCGCAGCCACAGCGCGCAATCTTCGCCCCCTCCTCCGGGGCGGCCGCAGGACCCCGCGCGCCCGGGGACCAGCCTGGAGGCGAAGCGAAGTCGGCCGGGTCTTCGGGACCCCAACCCCCACCTGGCCGGCGCCTCCCACCAGGCCTGGAGTGGGGGAAAAGTCCCTGGGGGCAGGGACGACCTTCCCCAGGGTAGGAACGGGTGCGCGACAGTTACTGGGAGTCCCTGAGCCCTGACCTGGTGGAATTTGCCTACTATTACGAAAACAAATAGAAGTTATCAACAAAAGCAATATAAACCTACTTCAAAATGTTTAAAAAATAAAGAAAAGGGCCCTGAAGGACACTCCAGCCCCGTCCAGACCTGTGCTGTGGCCACTCTCCGAGTTCATGGCCAGGGCCCTGCAGTTCCTACACCGCTGGTTTGTGGAGGAGGGGGCACCACCGGTTCTGCTCTGGGCGCCCTCCCACCCCAATCGGCGGTATCCTCTCTCCAATCTCACGTGCACCCCCCCTCGGCCCCGCCCCTCCTCACTGCCCGCCCACAGCCCGCTTGGCCCCGCCCCTCCTCACCGCCGGCCCGCACCCCGCTCGGCCATATCCCCAAAGTGTGCGCCCTTGACCGAGTTCCGTCCTCCTGCCTCTACCAAGCTGTCGTCCTCTGCCTAGAGACCCCGCTCCCCTGCTCTGATCTGAGCTCCAAGAGGACGGTCCGGGTGGCCGGTGGTAGGGGAGGCCGCGGCCCGCGCACTCACCGGGGCCCTGAGCCGGGGCGCGCTCCACCTCGTTGCACGCGGGCCCCGCGCACAGCTCCTGGGCAAGGGGACTTCGGGCACTGACGTTGTAGAAGCGCGTGGCTTCGAAGGCTGCGGGACGAGGAAAGGAAGAGTGACCAAGTGATGGGGTGACAAGGTGAGGAACTGAGCCGGGGGTGCGGGTGGGTGCGGGCCTACCAGGCTCGTAGTAGTCGTACACAGAGACGGGCAGCGCGGACGTCCTGCCCACCACATGCTCACGCAGCGCCCGGAACCGCACGCAGGTCAGGCACCGGCTGGGGATCTGCGGGGTTAGCAGAAGGGCTCAGGCCTGCCTGGGGCCACTGGGTTCAGGGATGAGCTACCGCCCCTACGCTCTGCTATGCCTCAAAGCCTGGGCCCCGAACTGGCGGATTTCGGGGTACCCAGGACGTGTGAAACACAAAAACCTGATTCCACTCAATCCCGTGGGTCCTTCCATCCTACCTGGAAAAATCTCTCTGCTGGTCTTTCACTCCCCACGCCCTCCCTCTCCCCCCTCCCCCAGTCCCTGGCCACCACTAATCTGCCGTGTGTCTCTATGGATTTACCTGTTCTGGGCATTTCGTGTACATGGGATTATGCACCATGAAGCCGTTTGTATCAGGCTTCTTCCATTCCGCACGTTTTCCAGGTTCATCTACACGCACCAGCGCCACATTCCTTTTTATGCCTGAATACTGTTCCATCCCCTCCCAACTTTTCCCACCCAAGTGAGCTGCCTGGGGCACTAAGCCACCAGCTGCACCAGCTCTGCCTGGACTGGTTGTCCCCGTTTCTTTTTCATGATGAGAGGGTTGCAGGAACTGCCCTGGGCCCTGACAGCCCCGCCCCCGCCCCCGCCCCAGTGACAGTACCTCATCAAAGTAGAAGAGGACTCTGCGTCCGGCCACCTCGTACCTCTTCAGCGTGAAATGCTTGTCAAAGAGCAGCTGACGAGGAAGCCAGAGGTCAGGGTCCACCCAGCCCCTCTGTCCCCAGTGCTTGCTTCCTCCCCGGTCTCTGCGGGGCCTTCACTGGTCAGTGGGAGGTGGGCAAGGCCCCAGAGGCTGGCGACTTGCCTGTGGTCATCCAGCAAGTCCCCACGGGCCAGGGCCAGGGCCAGGGGATGGCGGTCAAGGCTACCCAGGCCCTGCCAGCCCACCCAGCACCCGGGAGAGGGTATGTGAGGCTGGTTACCTCTACCCCCGAGCTCCTGCCTTCCCTCCCCTTCCCTTCCTACAGCCTCCCTCGATCCAGCCCCAGCCCTACGCTAGGTCTCCCTGTGGCACTCGAGGTGCCCAGCTGAGCCCTGCCATCTCCTCTTATCTCAACTGCAACATTCAGCCACCATCCAGCCTGGGAAGTCACAATTTTTGATACATAAACCCAAGGCCTTTGTGCGGGCCCTTCTCCTTACCCTGGTGCTCGGCGAAGCCTCCCTGATTGCCCACCCCCGGGACTGGCCTGCCTTTCCTTCTCCATCCTCCCCACACTGCAGACCTCCTTCCAGCTTTGGGCAAGATAGCATCCCCCCTTTGTGTGCCTCCCGCACACAAAAGGGATGTGGGACTGGTATCTCTTGAGTTTGAAGGCAGTGCAGGTTTCTGGAGAACCAAGGCTGAGGCTACCCTATGGCACCCCACGTTGTCCCTACAGCACATCCACATTGGCTGAATCCCTCCTCCACCACCTGGATCCTACCCCTTCCCACCTGCCCCTCAGCAGGTGGCCAGCCCCGAAGCACCAACTCTGCCCAGAAAGAAAGAAAAAATTTTGAAGGGCTGGGAATTTGCAACCCGGATAGGGCGGTCAGCTAGAGACCCCGCCTGGCTCCTGCCTGCTGGTGCCACCTCACCTGCTCCAGGCTCTCGATGTCCACCCGGAAGCCCGAGAGTAGGGGCACCTCCAGGACAGCCATATTGGAGGACCCTGCATGCAGCCACCTTCCAATGAGAGGAGAGATAGGCCCTCGAGCTCCAGCCCCATGGCGGAATTCATGGCCCCCTCTGACACCCACAATCCCCACGAATGAAGTCCTGGGGGAGCCCACCCTGGGCCTGGCTGGGTGGCCCATCTGTACAAACACAGCTGGCCGGGCCACCGGTCAGCCCATTTCACAGCTGAGACCCTAAGACCATAAGGAGAGGGCTTCACCGAGGGTTCGGGGCCTGACCCAGGCCTACTGACTCTGGGTCGTGCTTGCCCCGAACCCCATGCTATGTCCCCAGCACAGGAAGCAGGTCCATGGGGCCACGGGAGCCCTGGTGACTGGGAATTCCCAGTCACTCCCCAAGGCCAGCCCTCCGTGTCCCCTTCTGTGACATGGGGTGTGCATATTGGCCTCTGGGGCCTGCTCCATGCCAGGCCCTCCAAGTGCTGGTGACAAATGGGCGGCTGACCTTCACAGAGGGACCTGCAGACTGTGGGCCCAAGGGTCATGGGGGCCACAGCCACTGGGGAGGCTTCCTGTGGGGGTGCGGCCTGAGCATGCCCATATCTGGATGGTACACAGTGGTTCTTTCTGACACATCTAAGAGAGGAACAAAGATGTCCCCAGCAGGCCTCATGGAGCCAGAGAGTTGGGGCCAGCCTGGCGGCTTCCTGCTCCCCCTATCTCAGTTGATGGCAGGTTGAAGGTCATGGCATAGGAGGGCGGCGTAGGATGGGCTTTGGATGCCATGACAACCACCCACCTTTGGGCTCCCAAACCATCACCCAGGCAACGAGCATCCTGTGAGGGCAGCTGCCTGCACCTCCCCTGAGGACCCTCTGTGGCCTGGTCCCGGGGTCACCGTCAGGGAACCCAGAGGCCTGCGTCTGGTGCATCAGGCAGGGGCCACCAACAGCTGTCCCCACCTGGGCCACCTGCCTCACCTACCACTGGGGTCTGCTGCATCCATCTGGAAGCTTCCATCTCCCTCCTCATTTCAAAGACCATCTGCAGTCTAAGTGCCTGACAGTAAGCATTTGATTGCAAAAGCATCCATTTCAAAGATACCCATCTTGGATCAACATATTGCCGACTGTGACACAGTTACAGATAAACAGCTAGACAAGGAGCCAGGAGCGCACCCCCCACATGAAATTCCCCTTTTAGAAAACCCCGGGTCACTGAGATAACCGACCCACCTTTCCCTTCCCGCTCCCTCATTCCTGCGCTTATCTTTTTAAATTTGCCAATAAGAGGGGACTGGCGAAACCCAAAGCCCCCACCCTGTGCCCCCATAAAAGGCAAAGCCCTACCCAGGTCCAGACTTTCTCTGTACCTGTGACCTCGCTGTGTGGCCCTGGGCGTGCCCGGTAACCTCCAGGAGCAGTAAGTAACGATCCTTGTCCCTCAAAGTTCCCTGATGGTTCTTGCTGAGGTATCTTGCAACCATAACAGGAACCACCAGGGCTGGTCCAGCCCCCGCAGTGGGAAATGCAGCAGGGGCCAGAGGCGTGACTCCGCATTCCAACCGACAGCCTCACAATCCACAGGCTCAGACTGAGCACCTGCTCAGTGCCCTGGTCCCGGGAGGCCGTGCTCCTCTGATATGACCCTCCTCGCAGGCCCAGGCAGGGGTGTCGGCCAGCAGGGAGGTGGCCTTACCTGGTGCACACCTCCAGAGTCACCTGGTACTCCTGGTGATGCTGGTCGGCCGCCGGGTCGTCGTCATCAGCGGAGGAGGCGGGAGCGGGCGTCCGCCTCGGCTCAGCCTCTGGCTCCTGGAGGCTCACAAGAAGCTGGAAGGCTGGTTTGGCCACGGGGTCCGGCACGTGATAGGTGACATCAATCTGGGGGGTGTGGAGGACCGAGGCTTAGGGAACCCGGGGTGGGGGAGGGGAGAGGCAGCGGCATGGTCAGAATGATGACAAAAGTGGGGCATCAGCGACAGACGTGGGGACTACTGTTACTTCATTTAGCCCTGCAACAGCCCCAGCGAGTGTAGGTCCAACCGTCATCCCCTTTTCACGCATGTCAAGCCCAGGTCCCACAGCCTCCAGGCCTCTCCCACCTAGCCACTGTGTTGTCTGGGCTCCCGTTTTAGAGATGGGGAAGCCGAGGCTTCCAGGGTCTCCAGGCAGACTTGCGCTCTGACCTCCAGCCAGAGCCCACAAGACCAGCCTGCCCCAGCCCAGAGCGCAGCTAAATCCCAGGGAGGGTGACGGAGGGGCTGCAGGGAGGGCAAGGCTGAGGCATCCTGGTCCAGGGGCTGAGGGAGGGCACCCAGGCGGGGCATCCTGGTCCAGGCAGCCGCAGGGAGACTAAACATGAGGCACTGGGCCAACTCCGGCGGTGGGGGAGGGCATCTGCTTATGGTCAGAGACCACTGGATTGAGGGTCAAATGGATTTTCTTGGGAGGAGCCCCCACACCCGAGAGGAGGCATGGCCACCTGCCTTGGGCAGGCTGGGCTGCATTACGGGGGGCAGACGGTCTGCGCCAGGGTCTCTCTCAGCCGCACACAGCCACCCCACTCAGCCTGGCCCGCCGTTGAGCTTGCAGCCCCCAGCCTGCCCCTCTGGGTGCCCCCAGTGAGCACAAGATATCCCCACAGCCCCACCTGCATCAGGCAGCAGCCTTCACCCTTGGCGCTCACAAACAGCCCTGTGGGGAGGCTGGGGATCTGAAAGAGACAGGACACCATGACGCCCTCCGCAGACACGCCAGGGTGGGTGGGCAGCGGGGAGGGGCCGCCAAGCCCTGGCCCGGGAATACAGACCGCCGCTGTCTGCAGAACCTTCTGGTTGGCCCTGTGCAGTTCGAAGGTCTCCTGGTAGTCCAAGTTGGTGGAGGCCAGGGAGACGGTGAGGTTGATGCCGCCAGCATAGGACAAGGTGGCATACTCTGCCAAGGCCTGCAGAGCCACGCAGGTGTCCTGGGGATAGACGAGGGGATAGACTGGAAGCCCCAGGGACGGGTCAGCCAGCAGGCTCCCTGCCCCCTTCCCGGGAGGTCCGGCCCAGACCAGAGGCACCAGGCGTGGACCCTCTCTGAAGGCCAGGGACCCATGTGGCTGGGAGGCAGAGTGAATCTGGTGCAGACATCCACAGTCTGGGGGCCCCCGAGAACGGGCAGGCACCTCCGCAGAGGCAGAGACTGCGTGCCTGTCCCAGAGCCTGGTGCGTCTGTCCCTCAGGCTCCACCCCCTGCCTTCCCCTGGACTCCTTGTCCCCCAGGAGCCGCCCTGGGACTTGAAGCAGGCGGTGGCTCCCTGGCGAGCTCTGAGCCCCGAGCCTGGACCCCAGTGACCCTGCTGGGACCTGAGCCCCTTCCTCTGGCCCTGCTCAACTCACCTGAGTGGAGGAGAAGCCCCCAAGCGCGTTCCGCTGCTGGGACAGCCATTTCACCACGGGCAGGGCGGTGGCCACGTCACCCAGGAGGGTGTAGGTCAGCAGGGCATAGGCTGTCATTTCCACCTCGGCCGAGACCACTGCAACGGACGAGGCTGGCTGGGGCCTTTCGATGCTGGGACCCAGCACCCAGCACCCAAAGCAGGGGGCCAGTACCTGACCGAGAGACCCCATCGCTGAAGCTCAGGAATGCATCCTTGTCCACGTCCCGGGAACCCGTCAGGCTCCAGTGGGTGACCCCATCTGCAGGGCCAGGACAGGTCAGGGGCCACGACCCAGTTCAGTGTGCAGCCTGGCATCCCGTGGGGAGGGTCAGTGCATATGGTCTCAAGAAGAGACATCGGCGGGGGGGGCGAGGGTGGTGGACCCCAGGGGAGGAGGGTGCCAGGGCAGAGGGCTGGGGCAAGAAGGGTCTCCAATGTGCAACTCCGTGACAGACCCCGTCCCTCCGGCACCCCTGGTAGACATCAATGGCCTCCCTCCTGACGGGGCCCTGATGGGGCCCTGATGGGGTTCCAGCTGTCCCCACTTAGGACCAAGGAAGCCACTTGCCATTTGCAAAGGCTCCGAGGATTCTGAGCTCATGTGAGGTGCAAAAGGCCCTCAGACCACAGAGAAATCGGCACTCCCTGCCCAAGCAGGTACTCCTAGACACGGTCATCCAATTGGGTGGTTTTAGAATTTTGCTTAATTTTTTTCTTTTCTTCCTAGCAATGAAAGCATTCTTCAGGTGACATCATAAGCTGAGAAGCTGCTGGGGAAGGTGGGGAGTGGGGAGTGCGATGAGGACTGGAGGTGGGAGGGGAGGGGGCTCAGTCTGAGAAGTCTCTGCGACCGGGGCTCCCCAAACATAGTGGGTAGTCATTTTGCCAATGGGGAGACCGACATCCTGAAGATGGAAAAGGCTTTGCAAGGCTCACCCAGCAATGGAGGGCAGGGGGCCCTCCCTGGGGCAGGGGTAGCTACCCCCTATTTCACAAGGGAGAAAAATGACCCTCGGGCTCAAGCCACTTCATCAAATGGAGCCACTAGGAGATGCGACAATGAGTAACAAACAAAAGAGAGCGAGCAAAGGGTGCCTCCTTAGTGCCAAGCATGTGTCCATGAGCTGTCTACTGGGGTGCACTGTGGGGGCCCCCTACCCTGCGTGATGGCCAGGCTGCGGAGCTTCCGCAGCGCTGCAGGGGCTGCCAGGCTGCGGAGCAGGGTCAGCGCGTAGGTGGTCAGGGCGCTGCTGTAGGGGTCCACGGCCAAGGGCGCACTGGACTCCAGGAAATGCCGCGCTCTGGCAATGGCGCTCCTCTCCTCCTGCAGGGTGGGGTTCGGGGGGGAGTGGAGCCCTGGGAGGCTGCTCTGCTCCCCCCCCCACCTGCCCACCCACAGATTCCCAGGGCACGCCTAGGGAGAGCACTGGATGGCTCACAGACTCTCATTTTGCCTCCCTCTGGGGCTCCCACAGCCTGCAGACCTGGCTTTCAGAACCCCGTCCCCTTTATGTTGGTGCCAACTTTTTCCAAATGAGGTCTGAGCACAGCGGATCAACTCGGAGACGTTCTGGGAGAAGTCGGCAGAGCCCTGACCACCCTGTCCCACCTACCCCATCACCAGGCTGGCTTCCAAGACCCCCTGCCCAGGCCCACCTCATCCTCTAGGCCTCACCTCAGTGGTCACCTCCTCCAGGAAGCCCACCAACCCTGATCACACTTCCCCCCTCCCAACCCCAATGTGAGCCCCTGGAGCACAGAAACTGAGTCCAGTGACAGCTTGATTCAGAGAAGCTGCCCAGTAATATTGGTTAAGTGGGAAAAAATGAGTGATGAGAAGCATTAATGAATTTAGCAAATGACCAATGTGGGCACTGATGGAGCCGCGCTGTTAAGATAACTCACAATTCATCATCAGAGGATGTAGAACAGACACAGATGTTAGGAATGGTGGGGTCCCTACCCCCAGGGCTGAGATCCACTATGGACACCCTCACTGCAGGGAACGTGCTTCCCCCACTCCTGTTTCACAAAAGCAACAATTGCTCCCGAGTCCCCCGGGACACCTCAACCTTGACTGGTTCCAGTACCAACCGTAAATGAAGGTTCTAGACCCTTCTCCCAAAAACTTTCCCAAGTTTTTGCATAGGACTCCCTGACCAGCCAGGAACCTGCTCTAGCCCCAAATGATTCCCCAAACAGGGACTGGGGGCATCAGATAGTCCTGGGAGATCTCAGGATACAGCTCCCTTAGGCCCCCCACAATTATCACAGGAATCTCTCAATCCTCTGCTCGGGCTACAAGAAGGTGGACATCCTGGGACCACTGAAAAGCATGAGAAAGAGTGGAAGGAGGGCATCAAGGAAGAAATAAAGCCTGCCAGGGGATGGCTGGCCTGGCCTGCAGGGGAAAGCCACCCACAGCTCCCTAGGCCACCCTGTGCTCACCTCCGAGGCCGTGCCCGTCTCCAGGAGCGCGGCCACCACGTAGGCCGTCAGCGGGACTGTGCCGTGGATCCCACCCTGCAAGAGGACTCTCGAGCCTCACCCTGAGCCGGAGGGGACTGCCCCCGACCCCTTACTGGCCCCAGACAGCAGCGGAGAGCAGGCAGGGCAGGGCTAAGGTGCCAGAAGGGGGCCGAGGGGCCGCTCACCTGGATGTCCTTGTTCAGGATCCTGCCCACGGCCGGGAAGGAGCCGTCCACCCGCTGCTGCCGGACGATCCAGCCCTTGGCAGCCGCCAGCTCCTGGGGGTCGATGAAGATGAAGCTGCGCGCCTGGGCAAAGGACTTCAGGACAAAGGCCGTGAGCCTGAAATAGGATGAGGCAGGGACTGGGGGGGCCATGGGCTGGGGGCGGTTGTGCAGAGAAGGTCACCTCCCGTATGCCCCCTGAGGAACTGTGCATGCTCCCCGCACGGCCCCGGGTCTCTGCTTCCTCACCTGTAACATGGGAGGGGCCGGCGTGCCCTCGCAGGGCTGCTGTGAGGGCTCCAGGAAGTGTGTGGGCACCCAGCAGGGCCCAATGACAGAGGCCAGCCTCCCTGCATGGACCCTCCCACCCTGGCGCTCAAGGCCTTCCTGTGAGATGGTTCAGCCCTGCCTCCCCCTGCCACGTGCAGAAGACCTTTCTTGTTGCCCCTCCACCGCCAATCCCCAAGGGATCCCAGCCTTGCAGAGAGATCTCGTCTTTCTCGGGAACCTGCAGCCAGATAACTTAGATGCCTGGTCCCCTCTATGGCTCTAGCCAGCCACAGTTAGGGGCATTTCAGTCCTTGGGCCTGAGAATGACTTTTGAATGGGCACATGAGGTGATGCTGGGAGCAGCTGTTGCAATTTTGCCACCATGAGGGGAGGAGCCACAGTGCTGAGAGAGCCCACAAGGGACCAAAGGAAAGAACCTGGTGGGCGGGGGTGGGGGGGCAATGCATTGCAGGCTGCCAGACTGGCCCATCCTGTAGCCGCCCCAGCCCTGTGGTGTGAACTGACATTTAGAATTGCCTTTCAGCCAGATTTCTGTTGCTTGCAGTGGAAAACCTTCCACCAACCCACTACCTCAGCTACCCCATCCAGGCACTGGTCATGTCGTGTTTCCGTCCTGTCTACACAGAATGAGGTACTGCTTGTCTCTCAACGCTCCGCCCACGTGTCTCTCCCCAGAGGAAGCTTCTTGGGCGCCCCCACTCTGAGATGGGCCTCTCTGGACTCCCAGGACCCCCAACTGGCCTCCCCACAGCCCACCTCTGTGTCACAGGTGTCCATCCTTGGCTTTGCAACCTGTGCCTT